CGTAAAACTCCTTGAATCGCCTGGCCAAATCCGGATTGGACTTGACAAATTTGGCATCGTCATAGGTGCACAGAAAGTTTACATTGCAGTAATCAAACTGAACCTTGAAGCTCGTCATGTCTCGAATAGAACTGAATTTTCCTCTAATCTGCTGACCAGCTAAAAGGTTTACGCGAATCTCTGTTGAAAAATAAGACGAATTGTGTCATTATAATCAACAAAAACATTTGGTTGGGTACAAAACAGTACAAGTAAATTTTCAAAAAAGGAGACGCTTCTCTTACCAGGCGCCACTTCACTGAGGAACTCCGCTTTAACCAGCATGTCTCGTAGCGGGGCTCCGTTTACAAACATGTTAACTGTGTAGGAGCAAGTGCTGCTGTTATTTGAGCCTTGGTTGCTCTTCTCTTTGGATACGAACTCGCAATCGACTTTGGCATTAACTGGCACGAACTTTTCCATGCGATCTACAATGTACAAAGGATCATAGTTGGTAACCACGCTGTGAAAGCTGCAGCGATGTGCCATGCACGGCGGATCTGCGAAGCGCTGCTCCAACTGCCAAACATCCTCTGAGGTGACTGTTATCAAGCTGCCAGTATCCACGCAAAACACACGATACTTGCGCATCATGTGATTGCATGCGGTCACTGTTGCCCGCAGAATGGCGTTGTCCTTTCGCTGACGCACAACTACGGTGGATCCAACCTTTAATTGAAGTGGCTGGTGTTGCTTCTGGCGGTAGAACTGTCGCATATCACGCAGGACATTATCATACTTTGCGGAGACAGACTTTGGCACGACGTAGAACTGGAATGGCGAGACCCACCAAGACAGACTGGCTGCCTCCTTACTTGGTGTTTTCATCTCCTGCAGCACATACGGTTTCTCTAAGGAGACATACTTCTCCGGCTTACTGGCCGTTACTGGTTCGGAGGAGGAAGAGGCAATATCACTCTCCACTCCGCTGGAACGCTTTGAGCTGATAGTTCCGTCCAACGTGGATTTTTGACGCTGTGGTTTTTGAGCATAGCCCTGTGGTGCGTTCTGGGAGCGTTGGTTCCCCTGCTGGCCATCTTGAGTCCTGCGGGGTGACTCGTTGTTGTTAAAGCGCCTGATATAATAAGGATCAATTAAAAATATTAATATTATACGCAATATTTATAGCTATAATACTTACGCATTTTTTTTCGCTTCCTGCTTTCCATTATGCCGTGGTGATTGAATCGGTGTACGAACGTTCTGTTGTCGGTTACCCTTGCGCGGCGAACTCATGCCACTGTTGTAACTACCGATACTCTGCGTCTCAAAGCTGGAGTCTAAATGGCGATCGGATCGCTGATTTTGTTGCTGCTGGTGGCGCTTACTATCCTTTGAGCCAGCCGAGGTGGAGCTTCGTTTGTCCCAGTCTGCGGAGCTCTTGTTTCCGCCTACGGTCTTTACTGGTTGCGGAATTTCAACTGCTAGATGCTGCTGCTTAACCTCTTCCTTTTTGTGTTGCTGCTGTTTTTCCTGTACTTGCAAACGATTCTCGCTCTCAACAATGCTTGTAGAGTTCAAAATTAAGCTCTTATCCAACTCAGAAGAAATCACAGACTCAGCGCGGGTAGTGTTTGCATTAAACTGACCCTTTTCCAGGGACAGGTACTGTTCAAAAGGCATAGAAAGCTTGTAAAGCTTCTTCATTACGTTCAGGTTCTTTGCCAAAAGGTTCACTACGTTCAGACCATCGGGTTCTATACGAAAGATACGCACACTGAATGTGCGCCTTCGGATATTGGACTCCTCAGCTAACATTTCAAACTGGTCGGTTATCTTGTCTTCGCTAAGTTCGCTGTTCTCGAAGCCTTTTAGGCAGCACTTAATTGCCTGGCGGGGCATTTCCAAATGCTTCTCAGCAATATGGCCGATCAGGTGCCGCTTCACATTCTGTTCATAACCAAAATCTACGTGCCGTACAATCACAGAGTCATCAACACGCAGAATCTCCGCACGATACCATTCCTGATCGCATTTGACAATGCAGGGTGCGCCCAAAATTAACTGATCGGGAACTTTTTGGTTTGTATTGTAGTAGGAGAACATCTCGTCCATGAGCTGCTCGAACTTTCCTATGTTCGACACTTTCTGCACATAAAAGTTGCTGGGCGAATCAATAAAACGGATCTCCACGGCGTCGTCGTTTTCAAGTTGCTCCGCCTTTTTGTAGGACTGCCGTGAATTTTTTAGCTGTCTAAGCAGCTCCAGCATATTGGTGCCCTACAATAAAATTATCTTAATATTAGATTACTTATATTTCTTGCATTGGTAGCTGCTGTTGTCTTATTTGCGTAAAAAACAGAATTATCTTTACACTTACATTCTGGTTGAGATGGCAGGTTTGCATGGAGCCCACACTCTCCGGCGCCTGTACAGTCAGTTCAAAGTTCCTATAAATGGCGGACTTCTTGAAAATTCGCTTCATGCTTTCGTCAATGGGCTCAATTTCCTTCGTTCCGGCCAAAGCAAATCGGAAAGCAAATGGCTTGATTTCCAACAGTTCGGGGGGTATTTGAAACAGATCACTTGTTGACAACAGCTCCGAGTTTCCATAGTCCACGTAGACAACGCGGTAACGTTGGGCGTAAACAGCGCTTACCATCGCGCGATACAGATGTCCATCTTCTGAGAAGCGGGCTACGCAGGCAGTTCCAAGTTCAGGAGTCTGAGCGAGCGCCTTGAGCTTCGTCCGTTCAATCTGACCCATCATGGCGCTCAGATTATCGCCGCTGCTTTTCAGGTGCACCCAGAATAGGTACGGACCGTTTTCCACATAGCTTATATCTACGTCGTAGGTGAGGCCCACCGTTAAGCTTGTGGTTCTAAAGGCAGGAATTGTGCTTTGCTGCGCCCGTTGCGCAATTGATGGCGTCGGAGGCGGGGTGAACCGTGCGGGAACATAGTTCAGGGATACGTAGTTAGCCTGTTGATTATAGTGCTGAATGGGCACATGTGGACCGGCCGGCGGCGGCATGGCTGTAATCGGTTTGTTCATGCGAACATTGTAGTAGGTGTATTGCGATCGGGGAGTCGCCTTGGGCACATATGGTTGAGCAGCCGGCACAGCGGGCTGATAGTTGGCACGATTATAAGGAACAAACGGTGCCGCTACAAATCCCGATTTCGGAGTATTGTTCAGGCCTTGCATTGGCACCTGTACATTGGTCTGTAAATTGATTTATTAATAAATTACTTTTATAGAAATTTAGTCCATTCATACCACATTGACCAGCGGCAGCTGTTTAGGCGTATAGTCAGGGGCATTAGCGTTTAGCGGCCTTGGTGGTGTCACCTGGACCGAGCGCTGTGCATCCAAGCGAGCAGCCAAGGATCTTCGCACCGCGAGTTGCTCACGGGCAATCTCCGTGGGCGTCTTTGAGTTGTGTATACTATTGTTGTTATACTCGGTAACCGGCGACTGTGGAGTATCCTTCCACAGCTTCTTACAGTGGTCCATCATGAGTTGCTTGCCAACTGGAGCACCGATTTGTTTTTGTTGCACTAAGAACTCGTTAAGCTCAAAGTCCTTCCAGCGAAGACTGGCGAACTTTTGGTCACAGATATGTGTGGGATCAACGGTGATTTGAACGGTCTGGTTGACAATCAGATCCTGAACCACAGCCAGATCGGTCTGATCCCACTCGGAGCAGATGCCCAGCACAATGTACTGGGAGCAAAGCAGGGGAATGTTCTGCAGCAGCTTGGGTTGCTTGGGGAACATAAGCTAAAACGGATAAATTTAAAATATAAAAAATTGCCTAAAACTTTACGGAGCTCCATTTACTCACATCATGACTATCCACAGTGCGCTTATAGCCAAAGTCCAGGAACTCGATCTCAGTCCTCATTACCTGACCCTCCAGGTCGGCACTGACCACACGTATCCGCCTGTACTCTACATCACCAGGAGCCGGGCCATTGGTCTTCTTGAAAACACAAAACGTGCCGGGCATGAGAAGAGCCTGCTGGCGCTCCACTGACCAACTGGGCTCTATGGCAAAGCATGTGGGCAAAAGCTGCTCGATTCGCTTGCTGACCAGGAAGGCGGCGTCTCGGTTTACCTGGCCGTAGACCTTCAGATACGGACCCACATGATCCACATGAGTGATGTACAGGTCCACTTTTGAGGGTCCCCCATTGGGCGGCTGTCCATTCATTGTTGGGTATTGTTATTCGCTGAAAGCAATACGAATTCTGTTGAGAATGTGTTATCCCAATTGGAAACGCAGGCACACGATGCCACACACACAAATGCAGCAGTAAGGACCGTTAGTTTGGGCCGGCGAAAAGGTGGCAACCCAGATTACTAACTGAACTCGCTTAGAATGCACTGTGTGTATGTGTGTGGCGATGCGAATGCTTTTCTTGTTTTCTTTTTTTTTTTATCTAGAGAAATTAAACAATATGAGAAACCACTCACGTCTTGTCGTCGTCGTTGTCCAGACTAAAAGCGAAACTCTGAAAAAACGCCCTGCCCCTCGCCAGGTGCTCTGTCTCTTTCCCGCTTGCCCCTGTTATTTAATTCTATTTTGCTGCCTGGCTTACGGAATTTAAGTGGACGGCGTGTTTTTGGGGCGAAATAGTGGCACACTTCTTAATGGCTGGGCTCTTGTGGGCTCTTTTCTGGTCACTTTTTGTGGAAGAAAGTCTTGAGAGTGATTAGAAATCGCGATGCACACAGACACGTCTGTGCAGGTGCAGCAATTTTATTTCTATTTGGGGGCTTTCAGTCTTTTAAATTTCTCGGGGGCCTGCTCAGCAAGTGCCACCCGTGCTAACGGTGATACGTAGAGGTTGGGTTAGATCAAGAAAAGCAATTAATCAGCGCGAAAAGAATTAAATCAAAAAGTATCACTGCCAACCCAACTTTTCCACAAGACAACGAAACGACGACTAGTGGTGGGAGTTTTGGGGATATTTCTGAATGTTTTTGTTATCGATGTTCATTGATGCATCAAAACATCGGCCTGTCCAAACAATTGTCAAGTCTGTGTGTTATCGATTCGTGTAACAAATTAAATTAATACAAGGTATGTGATTGCGAGTACTCTTGTACTATCTTGTACTATCATCGGCGTGATATATTTGTTCTTGCTATAAATTATTCTGCAACTATTATCCATTCCATTATTATCCACTAATATTCTTTGGCTCCAAGCAAGTTACGCCTGGGATTGCAAGGCTATGTATAGGATATATATTTTCTTAAAACTAAAAAAAAATCATTTATTTGTATTTCTTATTATGTCCCGTTTTGAAGGTACACATCGCCGTGATATATTTTCTGGTGCGTTGTCCTTTCGCTGACGCACAACTACGGTGGATCCAACCTTTAATTGAAGTGGCTGGTGTTGCTTCTGGCGGTAGAACTGTCGCATATCACGCAGGACATTATCATACTTTGCGGAGACAGACTTGGCACGACGTAGAACTGGAATGGCGAGACCCACCAAGACAGACTGGCTGCCTCCTTACTTGGTGTTTTCATCTCCTGCAGCACATACGGTTTCTCTAAGGAGACATACTTCTCCGGCTTACTGGCCGTTACTGGTTCGGAGGAGGAAGAGGCAATATCACTCTCCACTCCGCTGGAACGCTTTGAGCTGATAGTTCCGTCCAACGTGGATTTTTGACGCTGTGGTTTTTGAGCATAGCCCTGTGGTGCGTTCTGGGAGCGTTGGTTCCCCTGCTGGCCATCTTGAGTCCTGCGGGGTGACTCGTTGTTGTTAAAGCGCCTGATATAATAAGGATCAATTAAAAATATTAATATTATACGCAATATTTATAGCTATAATACTTACGCATTTTTTTTCGCTTCCTGCTTTCCATTATGCCGTGGTGATTGAATCGGTGTACGAACGTTCTGTTGTCGGTTACCCTTGCGCGGCGAACTCATGCCACTGTTGTAACTACCGATACTCTGCGTCTCAAAGCTGGAGTCTAAATGGCGATCGGATCGCTGATTTTGTTGCTGCTGGTGGCGCTTACTATCCTTTGAGCCAGCCGAGGTGGAGCTTCGTTTGTCCCAGTCTGCGGAGCTCTTGTTTCCGCCTACGGTCTTTACTGGTTGCGGAATTTCAACTGCTAGATGCTGCTGCTTAACCTCTTCCTTTTTGTGTTGCTGCTGTTTTTCCTGTACTTGCAAACGATTCTCGCTCTCAACAATGCTTGTAGAGTTCAAAATTAAGCTCTTATCCAACTCAGAAGAAATCACAGACTCAGCGCGGGTAGTGTTTGCATTAAACTGACCCTTTTCCAGGGACAGGTACTGTTCAAAAGGCATAGAAAGCTTGTAAAGCTTCTTCATTACGTTCAGGTTCTTTGCCAAAAGGTTCACTACGTTCAGACCATCGGGTTCTATACGAAAGATACGCACACTGAATGTGCGCCTTCGGATATTGGACTCCTCAGCTAACATTTCAAACTGGTCGGTTATCTTGTCTTCGCTAAGTTCGCTGTTCTCGAAGCCTTTTAGGCAGCACTTAATTGCCTGGCGGGGCATTTCCAAATGCTTCTCAGCAATATGGCCGATCAGGTGCCGCTTCACATTCTGTTCATAACCAAAATCTACGTGCCGTACAATCACAGAGTCATCAACACGCAGAATCTCCGCACGATACCATTCCTGATCGCATTTGACAATGCAGGGTGCGCCCAAAATTAACTGATCGGGAACTTTTTGGTTTGTATTGTAGTAGGAGAACATCTCGTCCATGAGCTGCTCGAACTTTCCTATGTTCGACACTTTCTGCACATAAAAGTTGCTGGGCGAATCAATAAAACGGATCTCCACGGCGTCGTCGTTTTCAAGTTGCTCCGCCTTTTTGTAGGACTGCCGTGAATTTTTTAGCTGTCTAAGCAGCTCCAGCATATTGGTGCCCTACAATAAAATTATCTTAATATTAGATTACTTATATTTCTTGCATTGGTAGCTGCTGTTGTCTTATTTGCGTAAAAAACAGAATTATCTTTACACTTACATTCTGGTTGAGATGGCAGGTTTGCATGGAGCCCACACTCTCCGGCGCCTGTACAGTCAGTTCAAAGTTCCTATAAATGGCGGACTTCTTGAAAATTCGCTTCATGCTTTCGTCAATGGGCTCAATTTCCTTCGTTCCGGCCAAAGCAAATCGGAAAGCAAATGGCTTGATTTCCAACAGTTCGGGGGGTATTTGAAACAGATCACTTGTTGACAACAGCTCCGAGTTTCCATAGTCCACGTAGACAACGCGGTAACGTTGGGCGTAAACAGCGCTTACCATCGCGCGATACAGATGTCCATCTTCTGAGAAGCGGGCTACGCAGGCAGTTCCAAGTTCAGGAGTCTGAGCGAGCGCCTTGAGCTTCGTCCGTTCAATCTGACCCATCATGGCGCTCAGATTATCGCCGCTGCTTTTCAGGTGCACCCAGAATAGGTACGGACCGTTTTCCACATAGCTTATATCTACGTCGTAGGTGAGGCCCACCGTTAAGCTTGTGGTTCTAAAGGCAGGAATTGTGCTTTGCTGCGCCCGTTGCGCAATTGATGGCGTCGGAGGCGGGGTGAACCGTGCGGGAACATAGTTCAGGGATACGTAGTTAGCCTGTTGATTATAGTGCTGAATGGGCACATGTGGACCGGCCGGCGGCGGCATGGCTGTAATCGGTTTGTTCATGCGAACATTGTAGTAGGTGTATTGCGATCGGGGAGTCGCCTTGGGCACATATGGTTGAGCAGCCGGCACAGCGGGCTGATAGTTGGCACGATTATAAGGAACAAACGGTGCCGCTACAAATCCCGATTTCGGAGTATTGTTCAGGCCTTGCATTGGCACCTGTACATTGGTCTGTAAATTGATTTATTAATAAATTACTTTTATAGAAATTTAGTCCATTCATACCACATTGACCAGCGGCAGCTGTTTAGGCGTATAGTCAGGGGCATTAGCGTTTAGCGGCCTTGGTGGTGTCACCTGGACCGAGCGCTGTGCATCCAAGCGAGCAGCCAAGGATCTTCGCACCGCGAGTTGCTCACGGGCAATCTCCGTGGGCGTCTTTGAGTTGTGTATACTATTGTTGTTATACTCGGTAACCGGCGACTGTGGAGTATCCTTCCACAGCTTCTTACAGTGGTCCATCATGAGTTGCTTGCCAACTGGAGCACCGATTTGTTTTTGTTGCACTAAGAACTCGTTAAGCTCAAAGTCCTTCCAGCGAAGACTGGCGAACTTTTGGTCACAGATATGTGTGGGATCAACGGTGATTTGAACGGTCTGGTTGACAATCAGATCCTGAACCACAGCCAGATCGGTCTGATCCCACTCGGAGCAGATGCCCAGCACAATGTACTGGGAGCAAAGCAGGGGAATGTTCTGCAGCAGCTTGGGTTGCTTGGGGAACATAAGCTAAAACGGATAAATTTAAAATATAAAAAATTGCCTAAAACTTTACGGAGCTCCATTTACTCACATCATGACTATCCACAGTGCGCTTATAGCCAAAGTCCAGGAACTCGATCTCAGTCCTCATTACCTGACCCTCCAGGTCGGCACTGACCACACGTATCCGCCTGTACTCTACATCACCAGGAGCCGGGCCATTGGTCTTCTTGAAAACACAAAACGTGCCGGGCATGAGAAGAGCCTGCTGGCGCTCCACTGACCAACTGGGCTCTATGGCAAAGCATGTGGGCAAAAGCTGCTCGATTCGCTTGCTGACCAGGAAGGCGGCGTCTCGGTTTACCTGGCCGTAGACCTTCAGATACGGACCCACATGATCCACATGAGTGATGTACAGGTCCACTTTTGAGGGTCCCCCATTGGGCGGCTGTCCATTCATTGTTGGGTATTGTTATTCGCTGAAAGCAATACGAATTCTGTTGAGAATGTGTTATCCCAATTGGAAACGCAGGCACACGATGCCACACACACAAATGCAGCAGTAAGGACCGTTAGTTTGGGCCGGCGAAAAGGTGGCAACCCAGATTACTAACTGAACTCGCTTAGAATGCACTGTGTGTATGTGTGTGGCGATGCGAATGCTTTTCTTGTTTTCTTTTTTTTTTTATCTAGAGAAATTAAACAATATGAGAAACCACTCACGTCTTGTCGTCGTCGTTGTCCAGACTAAAAGCGAAACTCTGAAAAAACGCCCTGCCACTCGCCAGGTGCTCTGTCTCTTTCCCGCTTGCCCCTGTTATTTAATTCTATTTTGCTGCCTGGCTTACGGAATTTAAGTGGACGGCGTGTTTTTGGGGCGAAATAGTGGCACACTTCTTAATGGCTGGGCTCTTGTGGGCTCTTTTCTGGTCACTTTTTGTGGAAGAAAGTCTTGAGAGTGATTAGAAATCGCGATGCACACAGACACGTCTGTGCAGGTGCAGCAATTTTATTTCTATTTGGGGGCTTTCAGTCTTTTAAATTTCTCGGGGGCCTGCTCAGCAAGTGCCACCCGTGCTAACGGTGATACGTAGAGGTTGGGTTAGATCAAGAAAAGCAATTAATCAGCGCGAAAAGAATTAAATCAAAAAGTATCACTGCCAACCCAACTTTTCCACAAGACAACGAAACGACGACTAGTGGTGGGAGTTTTGGGGATATTTCTGAATGTTTTTGTTATCGATGTTCATTGATGCATCAAAACATCGGCCTGTCCAAACAATTGTCAAGTCTGTGTGTTATCGATTCGTGTAACAAATTAAATTAATACAAGGTATGTGATTGCGAGTACTCTTGTACTATCTTGTACTATCATCGGCGTGATATATTTGTTCTTGCTATAAATTATTCTGCAACTATTATCCATTCCATTATTATCCACTAATATTCTTTGGCTCCAAGCAAGTTACGCCTGGGATTGCAAGGCTATGTATAGGATATATATTTTCTTAAAACTAAAAAAAAATCATTTATTTGTATTTCTTATTATGTCCCGTTTTGAAGGTACACATCGCCGTGATATATTTTCTGGTGTCTTCACGCTGTAAAGTATTCTGGAATTGTTATCCCATGGTTATAGTTTAAGCTAAAGTTTGGCAGTAAACCTCTTAAACTAATTAAAATAAAAAATTATGCATCGGCCGGGAATCGAACCCGGGCCGCCCGCGTGGCAGGCGAGCATTCTACCACTGAACCACCGATGCTCTTGTCAAGCATCAAACAAAGCATTAACATGTATACTGAAGACTTGACTCAACAACCTGTTGGCGTTGGGGCATTCCTGTCACATAGAAGCCTCCCTCCAAGTTGACTCCGTGGCGCAACGGTAGCGCGTCCGACTCCAGATCGGAAGGTTGCGTGTTCAAATCACGTCGGGGTCATGTGGTGGAAATCCAGGTCCCTTAATTTTTTGTCACCTTTTTTTTATATGTATATATATATTTAGAAACTCCTTTTTAACGGTGTTTAAATACATAATTTATTGTATAATTAATAAGCAGCTTTGACTCACTACAAGCAACGTCATATACATAATGAGCATAGAATTTTAACATTTAAAATCATCCAATATACTTTGGTCCCTTTCGAAGAACATCTTTATATAGTTTAACGTACGTAACTATAGTTGATTAATTTTATGTGAACTGTTTTTAAATTGTAAATTCCCTAAACAATTTGCCATGATTTATTATCAGTTGTTCCCTTATTGCACAATGCATTACTCGTATGTATACGTTGTAAAAATTATCGTTCAAGTGCCATAAAACTGCATATAAAATTGAACATAAAACTACCCAACACCGGAATTCAAATCTCGATCTCTTCGAATCTCGCTTCTCATTACATTCGTCTATCTAAAAACGTATTTTGCTAACAAAATTTTTCAACAATTTTTACACAAATCAACAAGGAAAATGGCTGCAATCTTTGCACTAACTAAATGAAATCAATCCTAAAAACATAAACTAATGGACCCTGTGTTGCGTTTCGTTTCATTTTTGTTTGTTTGTATATAAGCGCCTCCAAAAATATTGTAGGGGTTTTAGTTGGTCTCGGATTTCAGTATCGTCCTCTAGTCTCCACTCTATTTGCTATTGACTAAGTTCAGGAATTCCTCACGGGTCTTGGGATCGTCTCGGAATACGCCCAGCATAGTTGAGGTAACAGTTTTGCTGTTGATTTTCTGCACGCCCCGCATCACCATGCACATGTGGCTGAAGGGAATAAAAAGGGAAGTCGTTCAGTCAATTATAATATTCTGTAAAATATATATATATTTTAAAACTTACACTCCCTCTACGACAACTGCCACTCCAGCAGGTTGCACAGCCTGAGTCACGGCCACTGCGATCTGCTTAGTCAAACGCTCCTGTACTTGCAGGCGACGCGAAAATATTTCCACAATGCTATGGGATCGCAAATTATATGAATGATCTTACAAATATTCTTACAAATTGTATCTTACCGTGCCAATTTGCTGAGTCCGAGAATCTTGTTGCACGGCAAGTAACCAATGGACACCTTGCCGTAGAAGGGCACCAGATGATGCTCGCACATGGAGAACATTTCAATGTCCTTGACCACGACCATTTCGTCATGATCCTCGTCAAACACGGCGCCATTGAGAACATCTTTAAAATAATGGAAGTAAACAAAAAAAGATTTATCTTTGTCTGACCCCGACGTGATTTGAACACGCAACCTTCCGATCTGGAGTCGGACGCGCTACCGTTGCGCCACGGAGTCGTTATTGAAATGCCCGCCCAATGTCCCACAACCACGAAGCTACTCAAATGCCTTTTCTTTGCTACTCGTGATTTATGGCGCGCGTAATTCGTGTTAGATTTATTTGCTGCATAACTGAATACTGAATGTTAAGTTCAAGCGCCTGTGATTGTGAGTGCTGAAGTGGTTGCTTAGTGAGTGTGTGGTGGTGTGGGGTGGTGTGTGGTGATGTCGGTTGGCGGAGAGGTTGGGGAGAGGTTGACTTGACTTGACTTGGTGGCTTATGGTTCTGGTGGAGTGTGAGCTTTCGCCACACTCGTTTTAAACGGTGTGCTCTTGAGATTCCCTCATTCCCTGAATGGAAGGCGCACCGCACACCCACTTTCCCGCTCTTAATATACAGACCGGAAAGCTTCAGTGCGTTTCCTGACCAACGAGGCAACCAGCCAGTGAGCCATCCAACAAACAATCCAGCAAGCATCATGTGGGGGGAGCTCCCCCAACGTCAGATTGGCAAGTCACGTTGACTCGTGCTTCTTGGGTTCTTTGAATTCGGGTTAAACACAAGCCAACCCATTCTATTGCCGATGCCGAAGGCTATTCACTTTCGTTCAACGAATTTAGCTTTTAAATGGTGCGTTGCTGTTGCTGTTGATCTTAAATTTACATGCGATTTTATTTGACAAACTGTAGAACCTGATTTCTCGGGCAACCGGTTAGGTATGCTGCTAGCTATATAATTCGCAATTCTTTTTTGTATTTGTTTTTGTTTTTCAAACGACTCGCATTGATTACATGACAAGTTCAAAAGCGACTGCAAGTGGAAATGCAGGTTAAACTTAAAACTCAAAACTCCACCAGTTAATTTTCACATTTTTGGATATTTGGATTTGGATGGCACCACTTGATTGTACAAACCCGAAATCGCTAATGGGTGCTCCTATGTTCATGGGCTTTATCTCTCGAGTGGTAATTAGACTAATGCACCATAGCGGACCGAGGAACCCCCGTAAATGGTGGAGTACCCGAGTGATTCATCGACATGAAACTAGTTCCCATTCACTGGTAAAACCAGGATGAGCAATCAGATCACTGACCTGGTGCTAATTGCCCCAAATGAGACGTGCTTACCCTCGAGACTCTGGTCGTAGCCCTTGGTGAAGTACAGCATGGCCTTGGCCGCCCGCTCCGGGGTCTTGATCAGTCCCTGGCGATCGGGATTCTCGCCCAGGCCGCCCAATAGCAGGCGGTACGAGCGGGCCATGTCCGGGAGGAGGGCCTCTCGTGTCGGTGGCTTATGGTCCAGCTCCAGGTCGTGGTGGAACGTGCACTTCTCGTGGCCTGTAAATGGAAATACGAATAGGAACATGATGAGTATCGTTATCATTCGAGATAGGGAGGCATTGCCCCCCTTCGGCGATTGTGTGTGGCTGTCTAAGTACTATCCCCCATTCCGAGGCTCATCTCTGACCTCTGAACCGAAACACTAACCCACTGATAGGCGTACGGTTTATGCTCACAAAGAGTTCGTCTAGCGCTCTTCCTAGTTGTTCATTGATTAACTGAATCGGTCGCAGCATCGCTCCAGATCGCCTGACCTGGCCCTGGACCACTACCCACCACTACCTGGCGTTGTCGATGTACGCGGTGTCATTGGTGTTTTCGGTTGTGTACCATCGCTATCCGGACTGCTGCCGTTGGTCTTCAGGATGAGGCGGGGTCTCTGATTGCCGGCCACCGGGACTAGTGCAGGAGCAGGATCCACCTCCTCGACGGGCGTGCCCGCAATGGCAGTGGACTCCTCCGTCTGGGGCTGCGGCTTGTCCGCCAGCGAAGAGGTGCCCGAAGTGCTACTTGTTGAGCAGACGCTGTTGTTGCGACCGCGCGAGAGGATGTGGGCCTGCGGGAAGTTGGTGTCGTCGATGGCATCGTTCAGCTCGCTGGCACTCATCTCGGACAGTTGGCGGGTGAAGCTCATTGCGGTGCGGCTACTCAGGTTTGTTTGCCACTCGAACGGAACTCAATTTGACTGCTGGCTGGCTGGCTGGCTCGCTTGCACACAATATTCGATTTTGGTCGCACTTTTTTCCTCTATATTTTCCTAGCCTGGTGTCTCTTTGCGCTTTCGTAGCTGGACTTTGTCTTCGCGTGCTGGCGCTTCGGGTGGCTCTGCTCTTCTGGTGGCTGCTGTGGCCAGCGGTGGCAATAAGAACCTCTCGAGCGGAGCTTTGAGCGGCGGAAAGCTCCAGCCGACAGACCACCCAAACACCGCCCACCGCCGGGCAAGCTCTGCTCCGAGTGGCGCTTACCGGAGATTAGGTGAGCGGAACAAAGCCGAGCTGAGCGCAGGCCCATGGTTTGGCATCCAGTGACTCCAAAACTGCGCACGAACTTGTTGCTCCGCCAGGAGTCTCCCGAGCTACAGCACTAGCCACGAAAATAGCGCCAAAATGTAAGAACTCACTAACTAAAACGGTGGTTATTTTTACAGCTAAGATGTTAATAGACTTTAAAAGGAATCAGCAAGCTTATGCTTCTTTTTTGGAGAGGCGCAGCGTTTAAACTTGATATATAGAGCAATACTAAGAAGGATGTATTATTCTTCTATCCCCAAACGTGCACTTTATCCTTGGCGCCAGCTTATTTCCCAACTATTGTTTGCATATCCTTCAGTTTTGTCGTCGGAACCACTCAACTTGGGGCCAGACGTCAAGTTGTAGTTTATTTCAACTTTCCAGGAAAACAGTCGGACTCGAAACGAGCTAATCTCCCAAATTTTAACCGCCGCCCACCCATCCGCCCCGCCATCCACGTTGGAGTACCAAAGTCATGGCGCACCGCCTCCAACTCCGTAGCGATGACTTCGACGTCGTTGGCGCCGTGCCCCGCGATCTGTCGGTGATTAAGAACTTCCTAAAGCGAGACTGTGCCATCAAGAAACTGATTGACATCGAGGAGGAGTTCCTGCAGGAGTGCGTATTGCGTGGCCAGGATCCCATGAAGCCGAAGGGTAAAAGTGGCAGCGAGATTGGGTCACGTGGTAGCGGTCAGGGATCAAATGTACCCGAACCCAAACCGGATCCCTGTGCTAGTAAAACACCGGAGAACACGTTGGCGTCCGACTACTGTGATCCCTGTCGACGACTCAAGACCTCCGTGGTGCTCGAAGAGGTACCAGCCCTATTATGGCTCACTATTTCTATGATTCATACATTGCTCCACCCATTTTCCATCAGCTTACAAAGCCAGCCATCACAAATCCGGTGTTCAACAAATCCCTGCCGCCGTACTTTGATGCAGAGACCGTGATGGGCAACTCGTTGCCCGTGAAGTTTCGCTTCCGGCGCAAGTTCAACAAATGCGACCAGGAGAAGGCCGGCAACCTGATGTGCACCAGCACACCGAGCACCAATGTGGTTGTGCTGACCAACTGCTGCGACGTGATGGTCTGGCCCAGTCAGCGGGTGGCCCAGATGAACCGGGTGCCGGTGACCATGCTGACGGGCGAAGGCGATCTCACGGAGTACATGCTGGAGGAGGAGACCATCATGTGAGGGAATGGATGGGTGCAGCTTTCTGGCATACATACAGGTCAATAAAGCATTAACCCCATGGGGAAGTGTCCTTATTTTCTGGAAGAAACCCTACATCCAACTTGTTGGGCTTCCATTGAAAGTATCTGGCCCCCAGCTGGCCAGATTTGGTTATTCTCTGCATATATTCGGAATCTCATTTGTACCGATGGCATGCAAATTTTTCGGGACTTATCGCGAGCAGACCGAGCATCTTTCTTGTTTATGGCTTGGAGTTGAAGGTTATACAGTTTATATAGACTCGCATGTATATGTCCTGAAGAGTGGATTTTGGTGTGTTCTAAAACCACAAGTTAGTTTTCAGTTAGCTCACTGATTGAAGCACATTAAAACCTCCCACCGCTGATAGGGTCGAATAAATCAGTTGGGAATAGCACAGGCTGGCTTAGTTTACATAAATAAAAGACAGCTGCAGATGATCGTTATAGATTATGTGACTTGGTTACAGTGATACCTAGCTAGTGCTAATTTGCAGTCTTCAAAAATGGTGACTAAGGGATGGCTGAATTGAAATCATATTGAAAAGTGTAATGCAAATGGGTTTCTTCCGGAGTGGTCGACCCGTATTCCCATGCATTGCAATTAAACCATCATTAACATTTTCCACAGGGCAGGTGTTGTCTCCGGCCGCAATTACCCATTACGGCAACAGATCTGAATCAGGAATGCATTCCCCATTCAGTGGCATGGGGATTGGGGATTCCGAGCTGGCAGGGTTGCCACCGCCTCACAGAATTTTCACGGAGAATTTTTTAAGTGCCTCAATTAGCTTGGATCGCCTCGGCTCTCAGTTAGCCAGCTTGATTCAGTCTTTTTATTGACCGCAATCGCTCAAATGTGAAGTACTGCGGCCAGGCCTATTAGTCACCATCGCCGACAGACACCAGCTCAAAACTGAGGGGCAATCGAAGAAACTGAAACTGAAACTGAAACTAAAGCTGAACTGAACTGAACTGAACTGAACTGAACTGAACTGAAACGGCAAAAGGCAAGCGGCTAAGGCCCACGAATCGAAACCGTTTGGAGCGCCGTACTCGCAATTAAACACTTTTTTAACCTTCACAAAAGTAGTTCAGGTCTGTGTACCCTCCCCTCATCCAACCACCCTACGTTTTGGCCAAATCAAATCAAACCAAATCAAATACCGGATCACAAGCCAAAGGGGTTTATGTCTTTGCCTCTGCCTCTGGCTCTGCCTTTGTCTTTTGCTCATGGCCCAGAGTTCCAGAGCTCCACATACATAGGTAGCTCTCGTTGAATCTGCCGATCCAATCCAATCCGTTCAGCCAAGTGCCAAGTACCGAGCAAATCTTTCAATGTCAATGTCAATAAGCCCAGTCAGTGCCAGAGCTAGTAGCTCTCATTTTGTTGGTGTGAACACAACAAGAGTCACTCTCGATATCCGGCACTGCGTGTGGTTTGCATATGGGGCAGAAATCGTATCTCTCGGATCTCTGCGGTTTATGTACTCGGATTTATGCGGCCCAGCATCGCCGGAAATCGGAATCTTCGCATTATGCGCATCTGATTGCATTTCAATCGCTACCCAACTAGCCAATGTGTGATGCAATATCGCAGCAAGATTGCATTGATGCATTGCGGCGCTGTTAGCCAGTTCAAGGGGTTGTATTACCCGGAAACTAGATCGAGTTTACTGGCTACCAAGGGTTAGCTTTGAATTCTTCAACAGTAAGTGCAGCAATTCCGAAGAAATAGGAGGATAACAGAAATTCTATTCTACCACTTTCTATTCTAGTAGGCTTTCGTATAAATCCCTTTCTGATCTCCATCAGCAAAGGTTACTAACTATTTTCCTATTAATAATAATTAAGTGAATCACCCAAAGTCCAAGAACTTCGAAATAGATAGATGCTAGCCACTGCACTTGAGGAATATTAATCATATAATGGGACTTTCTCGTAGAGAGAGAATGTTTAGAATATAAATCACACTGCTATATCAAAAAGTCACTTAAATGACAGAACTCATATGCTCATATGAAAGGCACGACCATAGCGTTATGATAATACTATAACCAGGAATCAAACTTCTACACATACATAGGTCTATTTAAGGTCTATTTTAACTTTATCAACACAAACCCACTATGCACATACAAGTACGCATGTTTCTGAGATCAGGAAGAGTTTCCGATCCACCCGATTGCTGCCTTCTTCCGGAGAACTCACCGCTTCCATTGCTGGCCAGCTCCATGTTGAGCATTTCCAGTTTCAGCTGCTGGCTGTTTTTGGAGACCGTAAGATCGGTGCCGGAGGTGGCGGCGGAAGCTTCGCCCGTGGGAATCGTGGCTACGGCCACGGCATCCGCGGCACCCTCGCCATTCTGGCCGCTGCCATTTTGCTCGCTGGTCTGGGGCTTCATGTTCGATTGGTGTTGGTGATTAGTTGGGAGATTAGTTGGATAATTAGTTGGTGGACTCTGCGAGGACACGGGCTCGGAACTGTTGCAACTATGGTCTTTAGTTTGGGGCTTGAATCGCGTTGCGGATTTTTGTATTTGGCGCGCTCGCTCCGAATTTATCTGCCGACTAAACCGCCTGAGATTTAGTTGTAACCTTTTTATTATGAAAAATCGAAAGTTCTGCCGCGAGAGGGAGAGCGCGCGAGAGCCCCATACCGCTCGGCAGTTTTATCATTTTTTCGTTAACTGTAATTGCTCTCCGGCGGCTGCGGTGGCTGCGGCTGTGGGGGCTTTGGAGCTTTTGGCTCTCCGCTCCCGTTTAAGCTCAACTGCTGGGTGGTCCGAGGACTCCAGGAAATCGAAACGGAATTTGGTTACATGTTTGGCGGTCAAAGCATTTGGATATATATTTGGTATATATGCTTTTGGTATAACCTGTGGCAGAGTAAACATTTCCAAAATATAACAATTAGGAACACAAAAAAAAAATGATAACAAGAAAACACGGTCATAAAGAAAACGTTGGCGCCTGGCATTGGACCCCGGTGCAATAATTTCGCTTTGATAACCCCGCTGCGACTGCATCGTAAACGGGTCGTTGGCAATTATGAGGCGATGATAGCGTTCGATTTGCAACAACAATTCCATTTTCAGGCTAAATCATGCATGCCAGAAATTTGTTCGGTCATCGCGGTTCATTTGGAGCCCGATTGCGAGCCTCTGAAATTGAATTACTGCGGGAATTCAGCCAGGAAGACGCATCATGATCTATTATGAATAACATGCTTTTCGATTGCATGCAACCATGGGTCACTATAATAAATACCAATTAACAAAGTTACTCTATTTGTATCAGTAATGTCATTAAATCATATTTTATATATTTTTATAATCCTTATCCCAATCTTGTACGCGTTAGATATCGATTCTTTCGACTGCAATATAATGGATGTTAACTAAAAGACTTGGTAATTTTTATAGTATTATACAATTCATACTTTATTTTACATTTTGTCAGCTGGTCGTGTTCGCTAGTGTACTTCACGATCACAACAGCAACAAGTGCAGACCACTTAGTTCTAAATTTGCAGCTTAACTAATCCGGATACAATCACAGGTATAGATACGAATACAGCTGCAAGAGCAAAACTCGCGCCGCGCTTGCGCCCTTTCGCCGCCTTGAGCGGCCAGTTA